CCTACCCTGCTGGGAGGCACGTGGTGGGGAGGAAAGGGCAGAGGCCGTGCGCGATCAGACGCTGGGGGCCACATCTCCCCTCTGCCACTTGCTGGCTAAGCGGCTTTGAGTGAGTAATTTCACATCTCTAAACCTCACGTTCCTTACCTATTAAACGGGTGCAATAGACCCTCCTTTCGGGGTTTTGTGTTAAGTTTAAATACCATGATATTTTTAAAAAGCTTCTGGAACAGAGTAGGCCCATGAGGTCTGTCCCTCCTGTTCCAGTGTACCCCATGGCCAGCGGCTTAGAAATGAACACAAAAGGCCTACAGTGACCCCTGGAATGGAACGGACCCTCCATGCAAAAGGTTCTTAGCCATCTTCGAAGGTGCTCCAGAACAGCCATTGTTTAAAAAAGGATTCTGTAGTGAAATAAACTTGGGCTGTCCTGGGATAAAAAGAAGACCCCGTTTCTTCCTACAGGACCACTCAGAGGAGCCTAACATGAGGAGCGTGTGGGACCAAGTGTGGGAACAGGGTTTGCAAACATTTGCCCAAGAAACCTTCTGATTTCCGACCACAAAATCCTTTTTCTTCTTTTTCAATAGTCATTAACTCTATCATGTTCTGGGAGATGCTGATCTATCTTCGTTCTATCACTTCCCAGATGGCCAGCTAAGGCCCAGAGTGACAAATTAACATACTCAGGGTCACTCAGAAACAGAGCTGGGGTCTCCGCCGTTTCAAGGAGTCCAGAAATGGAGGGAGGTGTTTCCTGACAGCTGCTTAAGCAAGAAGAGGGCGGATACTAGTGAGCGAAAGGGGCCCCACCGTGGCTTCTCCCGTGGCCCCTGCTCACACCACACCCCACTGCACCTACAACTCACACCTCTTTCGTTACGGAGCTCATGGCAGGTCGGGTCCATTCATAACCTGTTGCACCAGTGTTTGCCCGAGTTTCTCACCAGCAACTTCTGCATGAGCTCAGCTGTGTCCCTAGTTCCTCCCTCAGCCCAGCTGCCAGCAAAGGTTCCATGAGAAGAAGGAAAAGTGTGTCCTTGGGGGAACAGCATTACCAGCCTGTGATGCTGGGGGTCGGGGGTGGCCGAGAAATGGCCAGGGGACAGCTGGACACCAAGGCCACTTACAGGCGTGAAGGGAATAGAAGGTACCCTCCTCCCTCTGCTTGGAATGTTTGACTTGGGTTAGCAATAATCACAGGGACATGTCCCGCAACTCAAAGCAAGCTATTCGTTCTCCATCTTGGGCAAGACGGAGCAGACAGACAATCCTGTCCCGCTCAGAACAGACATGTGGCAGAGGCCTGAGTCCAACCTTCCCCATGGAACTGCTCGGTGGTTCCACCACCAGGAACACAAGTCTTGGGGCCCCAGGGACCATCAGAAAGGGAAGGCGCTTCCAACCAAAGACTCCACCAGCCAGCCAGCCAGCCAGCCAGCCGTCCAACCATCTGTCCATCCAAAAGAAATATGCTGCCTTTCCTAGTCCCTCTCCCTTCATGGCCACACGTGTGGCTCCATCTGGGAACTGACCAGCTCACGGAGCAAACCACACGAGTCCCTACCACAGTGTGTGTTTCCCCTAAGTCACCTTATGCCCCCTTTGGGGCCCCCTCCCAGACACTTTCCTTCCCTGGTGACATTGCTTGCCTGTGGGATGTCCAGTGTGGTCTCCGGCAGCAGACAGGACATCCGACAGCAGCACATCCGACAGGACTCAGAAATGAACACTGGGAAGGGGAAGAGAGGAGAGGGATGGGTGTGGAAGGGTGCTCGGGAGATCCTGGTCCCTCAGGTATTCATAGAGGAGCCTCCTTCCAGGAAGTAGGCAGATCCTCTAGATTCCGCACCTGAAGGTGCTCAGGTCTAGAGAGTAAATGGTTCCCCGTGGGGTTACATGTGGAGAAAGGGGAGGGAGATGGGCTTGGGAATCCAGAAACTCAGGCTTGTCAAGGACTCATAGGTCAGCCATCTCAGCTCCTATCTGACTTTAGGCTTCCATCTTGTGTCCTCTCACAAGAGGCTGTGCAGTCTGTTTGCATACCTCCTGCGATGGGCAACTTATTACCTTTCTATGCAGCTCTTTCCCACTCCTTCTGTGCCTCAGGGTCATGCACCCAGGTCCCACTAAGCAGGGCCACTAGAACATTTGAGGGCATCCCCCAACCAGATACTGGGAGTTTAATGAAAACCAACTGTCACAGGGACTCTCAAGTTCCTGCATGTCATTAAGCTTGATGAGAGGAGGAATGTGAACACCAGATATTTATTAACTGGGGACATAGAGGGAGCTTTCCTTCCATGAGTGTTTAGTTCTGGGCCTCCACCCATTTCCCCCAAATGGGCCCTGATGCTAAGTCCTCCCAGCTTCCCAGTGCTCTCCCATCCCTCCTCCCTTTGGCCCTTACTGACACTCTGTAAGGTGGGCAACCATGGGCCTGTCTCCACCCTTCCATCTTGCTCCCCAACCCACAGGTGCCATTTTTCTTCTCTGGGGAGGTGGGGCACGGTTTTCACGCAGTCACACGATCAAACAACAGATTCAGTGAGCACCCATGGTGTGTCAGGCACTGTGTCAGGTGCCGGGACCACAAGGAGGCCCGAGACCCACTGTCCAAGAGTGCAGAGGCTGTAGGCAGAGCCGGCTGACTGAGGCGGTCATGGGATTACAGTGGCGTCTATGCAGCAAAGCCCTGGGCCCTGCGGGACCCAGTTTTAGCCTTTTGTGGCTTCCAGTAAACCAAACCCGTCATCAGGACTAAATAAAAGAGCAAGGTCAATCCGTATTTGGTTACTTGAGAGAGAGCAAAGGTGGCTGCATTCATGACCCCCACCTCATTATGGTCGCCGCAAAGTCCCCTCACTCCTGAGCACCACAGCCCATCGCCCTCACAAACCCTGCCCCACAACCCTTCTCCACACAGGCAACCACTTCTCTTTCCTCTCCCCCTGGCTTCCAGCCCCACAGCCCCTGGCCAAGGGGCCCTCGGCCTCCCTCGGGGCTACTCCGAGTCAGAGGCCCCAGAAGCTAACCCGAATGGAGGAGCACAGGCTTCTACCCATGGGTGGCTTGGGTGTGGTACTTGATCACACACACGCCCCTGAGCAGGACTCAGGCTGACCTCGAAGCTTCTGGTAGCACCACAAAGCTCTGGCAGTACCATGTGGCACTGGGAACTGGGGACGGGTAGAGGTGCAAGGGAAGAAGAGTGTCTAGGGCCTCGGGAGTACTTTCCTGTGGCTTATCTCATCTACCACTCACAGCCGTCCTGGGAGGGCGGCAAGGCCAGGAGTGAGCGGAACTCCTCCCAGTTCACAGACATGTATACTGATGGCCAAGGTCAATGTGATACCACTCACGGTGAGCACACCAACTCAGGCTACACGTTTTGGAGGACTCCAGTGTAATCACAGGTCCACACGTGTGTCCATGCATGGAGACATGACCAGGAACACAGTCACGCAGAGAAAGCAAGGGCTCATACTGGTGAGAACGGAGAGGGCGCTCTGGGCACCATTTAGGCCCAACTGCGGGATCCAGTGGCACTCTTCCTGGCTGTACCACACAAGGCAGCTCTTACCTGGTCCACAAGGAAGAGGACAAAGCTGCCTGCAGCAGGCTTATTAGTCTGGGGGTGGGGTGGAGGGTAGAGGTGGGCGGGAGGTAATGTGGGGGGGTCCAGCAATGCAGGCGAGGGTGGATAAGCTGGGAGAGCACAGCGCCGACTAATGGGGGTGCGTGCAATAAAGGTGGAGGGTGGATTTGAGAAACTCAGTGCTGTGTGGAAGTTCCTCATAAGTTCAAAATAGAGCTCCCCTAGGACCCAGCAATTGCACTACTGGGTATTTACCCCAAAGATACAGACATAGTGAAAAGAAGGGCACAGGCACCCCAACGTTCCTAGCAGCAATGTCCACAACAGCCAAACTGTGGAAGGAGCTGAGATGCCCTTCAACAGACAAATGGATAAAGAAGATGTGATCCATGTATACAACAGAATATTACTCAACCATCAGAAAGGATGAATACCCACCATTTACATCAACATGGACGGGACTGGAGGAGATTAGGCTAAGTGAAGTAAGTCAAGCAGAGAAAATCAATTATCATATGATTTCAGTGACTTGTGGAACATAAGGAATAGCATGGAGGACATTAGGAGAAGGAAGGGAAGAATGAATGGGGGAAATCAGAGGGGAAGACGAACCATGAGAGAATATGGATTCCAGGAAACAAACTGAGGGTTTTAGAGGGGAGGGGGGTAGGGAGATGTGTGACCCCGGCAATGGGTATTAAGGAGGGCATGGATTGCATGGAGTACTGGGTGTTATACAAACAATCATGGAATACTACATCAGAAACTAATGATGTACTGTATGGTGACTAACATAACATCAACATCATCATCATCATCATCATAATAAAAGAAACTTAGTGCTGAATGAAAAAGAAAAAGCAAGAGAATATATTGAGTTATTCAAATTAAAATACATGTCCACAAAACAATAACACCATTTTGCATGAACACGGAAGACACTCCGGTTGCACCTTAAAATGACTGTTGGGGGATGAGGGTGGGATATGGAAATGAGAGGCCTCCCAGGGAGCAACGGTGGCAATGGGTCATGTAGTGGGGGGCATCATGAACTCACCCTCCGTGCCCGAGGTTAGAAATGATGGCGAGACTGGCATGCGTAGTTAGATTCTGACACACATACAAGAATAAATCTCTTCGACAAGCCCGCAAGCTTTCCAAAAGCCATTATCATTTGTGTACACACACAAGATGATAGAATCAGAAATGAAAGCAGCGGCTGGAGATGCTATTCTTAGGTCACTTTCAGTTAGAGAACTGGGGCATCCAGAGGCAAAGTTGAAGACCCAGAGCCTACTTAGCCAAGATTATGTTTTCTTACGGATGATGGCAACCATGGCCAACGTGAAGTGTAGAGTAGCCAGGACCGGACTTACCTGTAACTGGGGGGGATGGTAGTGGCTACAATTTTAAAGCATTTATTGTTTATTACAAAAGTAATTCACATTCAGAAATATAGAAGTAAATATAGATGAAGATAGAAAGCACCTTGATCCTTCCTCAAACCCAGAAATGTTCTTTCCAGGCTTCTGTTCCACTCACTCCTCTAGGCTTAGGCACTGCAGTGGAAGTTTTCATCAGGCAAAGGCAGAACAGCACATTGAGTCATGTTTGAACCTCATCAGTTACAACAGGATTCCAGTGAGGAACCAGCTGTCTAAGAGCCATCCAGAAGTCGCATCCACTGGCTTTGCTGGGCCGGCTGGACTTCCTGCTGAGTGTTACTTTGCTCTTCACCAAATCCACCAGCGACAGAGGAGGGGGCAGCTCCTGAGTAGGTGATCTCAAAAGTAGAGGGGGAGATTTGGTTTGGCTTGTGCCCATTTTGATCAATGAGTTCATTGTTTTTTCTTTGCAATAACAAAGGACTCTCATAGCTCCAGAAACCCTTGAATTACTGAAATTAACATGGGGAAAATATCTTAGTTATCGAGTCTAAAATTCTCCAGCATTTTACCCCCATTTTTTCCCCATTGCAATAATTGTTTCTAATGTGGTGTTTGAAACACATGGTATTTTAGGATTTGAACTAATTAAACAGAGCAGAACAGGCTCTCTTTATACATATACACATATATACATATATAATTTTAAAAATAAAGTGAGGATCATACTGTACATATAATCTTATATTTGCCTTCTTTACTTAACAGCACATTGTAAGCATTTCCCAAGGCATTAAGTATTCTTGAAAAATATGATTTTAACGCCTCAACTATTTTATCTTATGGATGTAACATAATTTATCCACTCCCTTAGTCAACATTTTAAGTTACTCCTAGCTGTTTTCTATTTTTAAAAAACTGGTGTGATAACGACTCTCTGTCTACATCTCTTGTTATTTTCTTACAATAAACTTGAGAATTGGAATCACCTTCATGAGGTTTTTGCGAGCATTATCAATAGTATATAAATCCCCCAAAACAATGCTCGGCGCACAGCAGGCTTTCAGCTACTAGTAGCTGTAAATAGGAAATCAAGTTCCTAGGAGAACAGACCAGTTCCTTCCAGGCCGAGTCAGGCGAGAGATGTGCTCCATTTGGCTGGGGAATGATGTAACCAGACAGTCTGGGTAAGGCAGGTGAGAAGGGACGGGGCCATTCTTGCTTCCAGATGATTCTCCAGTGACCCCAGTGTGGCTCTGCTGCCCTCCCTGTGCCCGTCTCAGCCACAGCCCCCACAGAGGCTGGGGGGCCCACTAAGCTCCGTCATGTGGACGGCAGGGGCAGCCCTGAATGACCCTGACTGCACTCTTGACTCAACCTTCAGGTAGCAGTAAACTGGGGTCGGAGAAGAAACAATGTAATCATCGTGTTCTCAAAGACGGTTTATTAGCTATTCTCACTCATGGTAAAGAGAAATAAAAAAGTGGATGAAATTGAGATCAGAGGAGATGAAAATCCAACAACAGTTCCTCCCTGAGGACCTCCCCCAACTAGACAACATGGACAGCCAGGGGCTTCGTGTCTGCATCTAGCAAGGGAATGCATTCAGAGAAGAACCTAATTTCTTCGAAGGTACAGGATCTAATATGATGCGATGAGAAAATCACAGGATGAGTTTTTCAACAGAGACTGAACGCTTATCCGTCTACGAGGGACACCCCTTCCCAGCCACACGGTTATCCGCAGAAACTGTTGGGCTCCTCTTTGGAAGGTGTCTTCCCCATGCAGACGACTCTGTCGCCTGTCCCTGGCCGTGGCCGAGCTCTGCTCTTTGATGGTGGATCTGATTTCCAAGCATAGTCTGGTCACCTGAAGCCAGCTGGGAAAAAGGAGGGATAAGGAGGCTCTGGGACGCGGCTGGGAGCGAGAAGCTGGGGAAGCTCCAGCGATGAGGCCGGGTTTCTCAGGTGGGCCGCCGCTGGCCCTGCAGGCCCTCCCCGAGCCGGCGGGGAGCTTCACCCCCCACAACTGGGCAAGGGGGGCATGGCGGGCATAAGCACGCAGCCTCTTAGGGTGCGTGTGTATGGAAGCTGGGCACTCACTGATGCTTCAGCTCCAGGCCGGCTGCGAGAACACCCCTCTCTTGTTTGGCTCCCTAGGAGCCCTAGCAAGACAGTTTGTTCTTTCTTGCAAGAGGGAAGCTTGTCAGTTTAAAGTAAATTTATATTTGGTCTAAGAAAGGCCAGTGCCCAAAAGGATTTCCATTCTTTGGGGGCCGAGGGCACGGAGCGCCATTGTCCTTTCTTTCTTCCCTTTACATGCTTGCTTCCGAGCCCACTGGAGGATGTCTTCGTGTTTGCCCTCCACAATACCTGGCCCCTCGGAGCGAAAGGGCCCCAAGCACCAGCAACTCGCAGGCCCATCCTCACTGGGTGGCCTCAGGAGAAGGACCCACCAGGTGGGACAGCTACAGCTCCTCGCCCCAGAGCACATCCCCACAGGGATTCAGACACCAGCCGGGGGCCGATTAACAGGGGCACCCCTCTGGCCTCCCCCAGACCCAGAGACCTGAGGGCACGGCAGATGGGGCTGGACCTAGACATCCGGGATGGGGGTGTTGCAGTTCCCATGGTAGATCTTGACGTGGCCCTCACACCGGAAGTAAGCCTCGAAGACGTCGCTGTAGCCGTGGTCCCTCCACCAGGTGCAAAGCTGCCGGTTCCAGGTGCAGTCCAGCACGTGGAAGAGCTCGGGGTGCTCCATGCCGATCATGGTGAAGAAGTCCTGGTCCCCGAGGTGGCCACGGAAGTGGTACTTGTCGGCCAGCTGCTGTACCTGTGCGGGCTCCAGCAGGCGGCTGTAGAGGGGGGACTGGCGCATGGCCTCCAGGTTCAGCAGCATCACTCCGCTGTTGAAGCCAGGGAGCCCCTCGGGCGGGGGGCCCCCAACCCGTGTCTTGGGGTTCTCATGGCGGAACTGCCAGAATGTGTGCCTGGGAAGGGGAAAGAGAGCAGATTTAACCTGGTTTGTGTGGGTGAAACAGTCTGCTGGCCCTATCTTCCCGGGTGGTCACAACCAGCCTAGAGAGAGACGCTGTCTTCACTCCAGGTTTATAGCTCTGGGGACAGGGAGGTTCTTGTGCTGGGAATTGGCATCACACCAACAGCAAGTGGCACAGCTTGACTCAGACCCCAGCCTCCTGATTCCAAGCCTTAGGGTCTTCCCACCATCCTCTGCTCCTTCAGGATGACATCGTTGCTAACATTTGTCTAGGACTCAGCAAGCAGCAGGCGCACAGAGAGAGAAAGCACAAGCAAGCAGTGGGAGAGGGAGAAGAAGGCTCCTCAGTGGGGAGCCCGATGCGGGACTCAATCCCGGGACCTGGGATCCTGACCTGAGCCGAAGGAAGACGCTAAACTGACTGAGCCACCCAAGTGCTCCTGCCTTTGTGATCTTGGAAAGGAAAGGAGAGAAGTGGGGGACGTGATTTTGAGAAGCGATCTGGTAAAGAGGTAGAAAGCTACCTGCAGGCTGAAATAAAGTCAGTTTCTTCTTTAGAACAAGCTTCATGGAGGCCCAAGCCTAGCACTTCTGAGTGGCTGTGCAGGGGTTGGAGGCCTGCAACAGAGCTCAGGGCCCACATGCATGGGTTAGGCTGAAAAGCAGCTGGGACAGCCAAGTGGAATTAGGGCTATTTTAGAGGGAATGTCACCTCAATCTTCTCTCAAGGCCTCAGGATGGGGGATGCATCGGGGCACCTGGAAATGCCACCCCGAGGCTCCCAGAGGTCGCTCCCTCAACCAGTCACAGGGCAGGATCTGTGCGGGGAAGTGACCAGTGCAGGGGAAAGAACACAAGAGACCCAGCCCACGGCAGCCACAGAGATCCATTTCGTAGCTCCCACATACTGCTCTGTGTCTGGGAATCGGAGAGGCCTTCCCTGAGGTCTCCCATATCACAAAGGGCACCGAGAGTTCGATCCTAGGGAGGGGAAAAGCATTCCCTCTGGACATTCTTCCAAGTGGAATAACAGGTCTATTGTTTGAATTTTGCCATAATTGGACAGTGAGTGGAACAGAGCTCTGGCGCCTGCTTGGTGATAACAACCTTGGCAAAAATAGCTTCCAGAGCAAAAGGAGATGTGGGAGCCCTTCTAGTGATGGGATCACAGGGGCGCTGGAATGCTACCTGGCGACTTGGTCGGTTTTACCATATTTCTTCCAAATGGTTCCCGCAGGTCCAGGCTGTAAGCCACTAAGATTCTCCCAGATGAATCTGGGCCACCACAGCATGGGAGAGGAGGGCTCCTCCAACCAGGAGCAGGGGGGCTTTACCGGGGAGGCAGGACTCAGCCTTCCAGGAGAGAAGAGAAGCACTCACCAGGGAGGGGAGGCCCGGGAAGGGAGACGTGTGTAAAAGACCAGCAGGGCCGGGCCTGTGAAGGTCCTAGACATGGCGAGGCCATCAGCCTCCTGTTTGTCCCCCAGGTCTCGTCTCTCCCCTTCCCGGAGGACCATGGGAGAGTGAGCAGGGTGCAAGCTAGCGGTCAAGTCCGCCCTTCCCAAGACCACCGCCACCTCTGCATTCTCAGCACCTTGCACGGCGCCCACACGGTGGGCCTTCAGAACATGAAAGTACTTGATGAGGAAGGATGGGAAGGTCAGTGGGGCTCAAGCTATGACGCCTTCGGTGTTGTCTGGAACCGGGGCAGGGAAATGTCAGGACACAAAGCTGCAGCTGTGGATGCCATGTTCCAGGCCCCAGGGCCCCATCTCTCCGGCGTGGTGAGGGGCAGGGGACCACGAGAGGGTGCTCAGGGATTTCAAAGGGTTCGGTACGGTCTCTACTCGTGAGCCAGCTGGGGGGTGCAGAGGCCATCTGCTGCCCTGCAGTATCCCCCGGAGCTCCCCTGTCTCTAGCAGAGACCTGCTACAGAACTTGCTGGGCCCAGGAGAGTGGGGCCAGACGCAGACAGAACAACGAGCATCCTTCCAGGTGGGGACCAGAAGCCAGGTGGCTCTTTGGGAACCTCATGCCTAGTACCACCGGCGCTACAAAGAGGCATTTTATAACAAAGCCAGAGAGAACCAGGCCCAGGGCATCAGCGCATTATGACCAGTAAGGAGAAACGAAGGAAAGACAGGAAATTGGAAATGCAAGCTGCCCAGGATGTGTCCTGAGGCAGGAAAACAGCCTGTAAATGAACCAGTGCTTCTCTAAGTACAAAATTATTTCCAGGGTGCCCCTGTTTAAAGCAGGCCCACCACTCCAAAATGAACCCAGACAGACAGAGCAGCCGCCTGCAGGACTGCTGGGTTTCTCTGGCCTCTGTGTCAGCTGGTTTGTGTGGAGGAACCACACTGGCCTTGGGATGGAGAGAAAAACACAAGGCCGTGGAAGGACCCGAGCTCATGAGCCCTGATCCCACATGAATGGGCCAAACGGGGCAGTCCGGCCAGTTCCCCCTGCCACAGCACAGCGAGGATGGCAGAGCCCTTTCCGTTCCCTGCCTCGGCTCCTGGGCGGCGCAGGGACGTCACTGGCCGCATTCTAACAGGGACAGAACAGAGGTCCCCTGTGCATCAGGGGCAAGCCTGACTCAAACACAAGGGCTCTGAGCTCCAAAGTCCCTTTTATCTTCGCTCGGATTCCATGGGCTAGGGTTCCCAGGAGGGGCACTTGGATTTCAATCTCATTTCTGAAGTTGGCTGATACCCCCAAGGCCACGGGCTCTGGGGACCTGGCTGGCAGGTGAGGCAGAAGCTGCTGGTACTTCACTGAGAGGGGGTCAGACCCAAGAGCCTCTCTCAGGGAGGTCAAAGAGGGCCCTAGACCCTCGCCTTCCTCACAGGGCTTGGGGCTGAACTGATATGTATGCAAAGGGCACTGCCAGTGGTGTGTGCTGAGGCTACAGGAGCCTCTGTATGAATGCAGGGATCTGGCTCCAAGTCCTGGAGCTTCTAGAAGTTTCCCTGATTAAGCTCTGAGCCCACAGTCTGCCATGTTGCCCTGACGCATCATCTGGACTTGAGCCTCTGCAGAGGCTTGTCTCCATCCTCAAATGTCCTATGGAGATACACAAGAGAGGGGACAAAATGTGAAACAAGCCCTCGCACAGGCAGTCCATTCTAAATACTGAGTCTTTCCTGGAATCAACCAGGCTTGACAGGAAAATACAAATTAAGAACCTTTAAGTACATTCTTCCAAGTATGGGCAATGCATTTCCTAAATTTGTTCTATTGAGTATGCCCTAAGTAATACTCAAAAAAAGACTATTAAATTATTAAAAACAAGTACACTAGTTTTCATGAAGAAAACCCATCTTATGAAAAGAGGTATCTGAAATCATTTTGAAAAGCAGTCATTTTCTCCCGTCAAGTCTTTCCCTGATGATCATTACCAAGGTCACTCCAACAAGTCTCTCAACTAGAGAACCTGGCCAGAAAACCTGGGAAAGAACACATGTTATTATGAATAAGTCTTTCTCCTCCCACCACCCCAATCACAGACCTTCCTGCCTCCCTATCCATGCTTTTCTCCTGGGTTGGTCTTTCTTGGCTTCTAAGGCTCAGGGTCTTCCATTTTCACTACTGAGAGGGTTGAGAAGCAAGGATGGGAGCATGCAATGAGCCTGGGCAGTCTGCATCAGGCTCCCTAAGAAGGTTCTAGAAGCCCATGCTGACTCAGGCTGAGTTCAAGCTGTTGGTTTTCAGGCAAAGAGGGCTCTGTTTTCTGAGGTCCCTAAGGACAGTGTCACGTGTGGCACTTCTCCCTGCGGTTTACCTGTCGAGTGTTCAGAGTCAAGTGCAAAGTCTACTGAGCAAGCAAGGCTGGGGCTCTTCCCGGAGGAAGCATGCCGTCTGGATGCTGTCTAATCAGTGAAGACTGGAATCAGGAAACATTACTCCCTTTATGCCCATGCTTGTGTCCCAGGACCAATGAGCTCTTATTTTACTTGGAAGGGACCCTGTTTTCCAGTCTTTTGCAAGGAAAGGCCAGGAGTGAAGAGCAGCACGTCCTGTTAGGTGACCAGGGGACAGCTGTGAGTGATGAGGGGCTGATTTCGGAGCAAGGACAGTGTTCCTCCGTCCTGCCTTGAGCTGACGTTCTGGGGGACGGACACAGATTCTTCAGTTCTTTAGAGGAAACACTGCCCTGTAGGTCTCAAACTGGAGACGACATGGACTGCTGACACAGTGAGGCTTTAGACGGCCACTTCCCAGGGCACTCCTCACCGCCAGGAGTCACAGCCAACCCTTATCAGGATCTCTTGCTAGCAACTCAGGTCTCCAGCTCTGCCAGACAGAAACATTCTTCAAGTCCCACAGGCTAGTAACAGCAGAACCAGGATGAGAGGGTTCTCTCCCGGGACCATAGGCTACCAGAACCTAAAGACACGTGAAGATTCTTAGCTCACCTGCCAAGCTTACCCATGAGGACACCGAGGCTCAGAAATGGCCCTGCCCGTAGTCACACCACTGAAAAGGTAACCTCCACCCCAATCCCAGGCTGATGATTTTGCTTTCCCAAAAACACCCTGCCCAGAGAAAGCGACTGCTCCCTCCCGCCACGCAATAAGCCATGTGACAGGTGAGACTGTGCCACTTAGTGCCAAGCTTTCGGGAGGCACAGAGTTCACGCTTTGCCATCTGGCAGGGACTAGCTCCTCCAAGCCCATCATGCCTACACCTGGAAGGGGAGCTGGGCCCCCAAATGGCTGACGGGGCTTTCTTGGGGCAGCAGGTGGAAGGCATGTGCTTGTCCTTGTTTGCAGGACCTCAAAAGAAATGTGTGCCTGCTTTCAAACACCAGCCCTGTTTGCAAGCCAGCAACTGAGTTTCCACCCACAATATGCCCTGAACCAAGAAAGGACAATAGGTCAGGGGTTGAGGCAGGGGGCATGTGGGTGGAGCTGGGGGTGCTGGAACCAGGCGGCCTGGCAGGAGAGCAGAGGACTTCTGGGGGTGCTGAAGTCCAAAAGAGACTCCGCA